ACCTAAGGTGTGGAAATGTCTGCCCCTGCTGGTATGTTCCTTCAGAACACAGATCTAGGAATGGGAACAGAGGAATAAAGGCAGCCTAGGAAGGGGAGGAGGGGCTGAAACGAAGGGCAACATGGGGCAATGGGCCCCGGTCAGACTGGCACAGGGAGACCCAGGGAACACGGCAGAGTCTGGCGTTTGTGGTGAGTCGGTTCACCCTAGGTTAATCAGTGAGGGCCTATATCGCAACAGGTCAGGGGCAGAGCTTAGATGACTGACTTCTGTTTCAATTAGGATCAATTTATGACAGGGTGGGATGGAGGTGAGGGAGGGGAAACTTATCTGTGAGGAGCTGCAAACAGCAGACACAGGGGCAGTGGGATAGGGCAGTCATGACTCACCCATGGCTAACCTGGTCACTCTGGCAGCAAGGCATTCTGGGAGTAAAAGAAATACTGAGTTCTGGAGAGGAAGGCTTGGCTGTAAAGCTGTGGTCCTGTGTCAGAGCTGACTGGCCCAGACAGAGTGAGGCAAGCGTGTCCAGTCAAGACTGAGTGTCAGGCACCCCCAGGTTTTGGGTCTGGGAGACGCTGGTGGGAGTCTAGCTCCAGAGCACATCACAGAGGTGGTGTAAACCCTAATCTCCAAGCTGGTAGCCCCAGAATTCCATCACGGCACAGCCCCAGGGCCAGGCCCAGAGCCAGGAGCAGGCTGGCAGGGGAACAAAGGTATCCCAGGCCACCGGGGTATCAGACAGGTCCACTTCAGCCCAATCCCATGAGGGAACTTGGACACCTACTCAGGGCCATGGAAGTCCCCAGAACCTCACACTCAGGCTCAGGGCTCACAGAGCTATTTCAGAGTTTATGGGCTGATGGTGAGAGCTATGGAAATCAACATCCACTCCTCACGAAGGGGACAGAGATGCAGTGGCCTGAGGCTACATCACAACTACATAGAAAGATTTCACTTCCCAGGATCAGGACAGAGAGTGTCGAAGCTCAGCTTCCCCCTTGGGAATTATCTCCAGGACCACAAAGCACTAGGCAGGAAGGGTGGTGGGAGTTGCTGTCGGTAGCGGCAATAGCTCCGGCTCTGGGCTCCCCTCCTCCAGACTCACGCAGGCACACTCACCTTTGTAGCGCTGCTGGAAATCTTACTAAGTTCCATCCCAGATGCCCCTTGCCTGAGCCCTGAAAGGTTCCGGTTGCCCTGGAAGTAGTTTGAGCTTCTCAGCCTGATACCTCCCTGACTTGGCTGCTGACATTTTTATCTTTTGACTTTCCCACCATTCCTGCAGTCTGATGGAGACCAGGCTTCTTGGATGTTTGCATTCCTCCCTCTGCCTAGAATGTTCTTCCCTGTCCTGTCTAACTGATAAGCACAGAGTCATCCTTTGAGACCCTGCTCAAGCATCGCCTTCTTTATGAAGACGTACCTGGCCAGCTCCAACCTGGTTGCAGTTAGAATGCTTGGCCGTAGTAACAGACAACGTAAGGTGTTGACCACAAATCTATTCCTCCTTTTGCTTCTTACCAAAGTATGCTGATTTTGTCCAAGTAGTCAACCCTCAGCAAAATGACCCCTTGCTCAAGGAGAAAGTAGAAAGAGGCCAGGCCCAGCATGCTAGCCCTGTCCCCCTGGTGGCAAGAAGCCAATACTGGTGGGCGTGTGCTCGGTTCTGGCCACTGCCCGAGTGCCCCGTGGGATGGTGGTCAGGTGTGACGAGCTCTTACAAGGGGGCTCAATCAGGGATTGATTCTGCTGGGCTAGTTTGTCACTGCAGTGTCAGAAACTGAAACAGGGCCCAGTGCCAAGTAGGTGCCAAAAGAGTTGCAAGAAGCTGCCTTCCCTGTTAGATCCTTTTCAGGACTGTTTTCATTGGGTTGGCTGAGCAGGCATCCCTCCTCGGGGGAGTTCACAAGGCCCAGAGTGTCTTCTCAGAATCATAGATGATGAAGGACTGGCTCAGGCTCGATGGCTTCTGTCCTCCCAAAGTCCATGCTCTTGTTTGTTGTCGTTTGTTCAAAAATATTCACGGAATGCTGGCTATGTACCAGCCACTGCATGTTCACAAATGAACAAAACCAAGTTCCTGCCCTCAAGGGGCTTTTTGGAAGGAGACACATAAACAGATAATTATCCTCTGATGTCATAAGGGCAGTGATTCTGTGCTATAGAGAGACTTCTTGGTTGCTAACAAGAACATTCTCTCTGGATAGTATAAGCAGAAAAGGAATTTATGAAAGGTCATTTGATAGCTCACAGAATCCAGTACCCAATGAAAACGATGTCTCAATCACATAGTAGGACAAACTCTGAACTCAGTTGACTAGAGCAGCTTCTGCCCTACCCCACCAGGCATTGCAATGGAAGAAAATGAATCCAGTTTCAGAGAATGGGAAACCTTGGATCTGAGCATATCGAGGAAGTCCATGAATATATAATGTATTATAGAGAGTTAGAAAATAAAACAACATTTTTCGTTATAGAACCACGAGCAGGGCACACATACTCTCTCATTTTCCTTCTTTGCTGAAATCAAACTGACCAGACCTCCAATTGCAAAAGTATTGTACTTTAGGAAAGGGTCTGTTTTCATCAGAAGTACCCCAATGCTTATTCCAGCAAAAATGATTTGGAGGTAGAGGACACTATCAGTGTCCTGGCCAGGTTCCTTTGCCAGTCGGTGCCCCTTTCCCCCACCAGTGGCCACAAGAGTCAGCTAATAACACCTAGCTGGCCCCTTCTCTGGAGAATGCCCTCAGCTAGACAGGAGCCATCTCACAGGGCGGGCACATGACCCCCCAAGCTGCTCTAGCTGTGACCCTGGGTGGAGAGAGCATCTTTCCAACCTGAAGAGACCTGCTGCTTCCACCCTGTGGGGATGCGGGGAGATCCACTGGGAGTGACAATGAACTGCACGGTTCTGCTAAACAGATTTCCTTGCTGGGCACATAGTTGGACATCACCACGTTTCCTAGGCCGTCTCCTTGGCTGTAGCTTTCTTGAGGTTCCTGTTTGGACATGTCAAGCCAGTTTTGGGGTGGGTCACAAGGGAATCTTTTGCCCAGAGAACCAGCATTCCAAAGGATTGCAGGGTGGAGGGATCTTCTAAGTCCTTTCTGAAGGGCTTTGGCTGAAAGTGACTCAGTGACTCAGCACTGGAAGAAAGTCCAGGGGGGACTTGAACAAAAAAAGAAAAAAGAATCATTACTACCCGAGAGCCTCGCCCGAGGCCTGACAGACAGCCCCGAAACCCAGGAGTAAGGATGAGGCCTGGCCCTGCAGGGGTCCCTTAGACCCTGCTCCAGCCCTACAGACAGCAGCCATGCACATGGGGCAGTTGTGCTGCATGAGTTGTTCAATATTTTAAACTACTTGTTCAGAGTTTAAGAGAATGGCCACCAAATTCTTTGACATTTGTCCCATTGACAGATGGGGACCGTGTTTCCTTCCCTTGAAGCTGGGCTGGATTGTGATGACTTTGACAAATAGGGCATGACGGAAGTGATCTGTGTGAGGTTTTGTCACAGAAGGAAATGCATCCCTGAGCTGCCACATAAGGGCTTCCACTACCCTGGGCCCCAACCCTGGTGAGGTCACATGTAGGAGTGTTAGGGGACAGTCCCAGCTGAGCCCAGCCTTCCAGCCATCTCACCAGCACCCAGCATGTGAGTGAAGAAGCCTCCAGATGATTCCAGCATCTGCCCTAGAGTTCTCTTGACATTTGGGTCTTCCCGACAGAGTCTCCAGACTTGCTGGAGCAGAGACAAGTTATCCGCACTGGGCAACAGGTCTGAATTCCTGACCTACAGAACCCAGGAGCATCATAAAATGATGGTTTTCTACCACTACCTTTGAGGTGGTTTGAAAGCAGCAATTGCAGCAGGGTTTCCACCCCTGCAGGTAAAGGTAAGGAATCTGAGGCTCAGACACACAGACACACAGACACACACGAAGCGATTAGGTCAGAGTCACAAGAGCCAGTGCAGCGCAGAGCCAGAATCTACCTCTCCTCTGTGTGAGCTCAAAGCCCCACTGATCTGCCTCACTCTTTGCTCCCAGGTATTTCCTCCCCAAAGCTGTATATTAACCTGCCCTTTAATAAAGCATCATTGTTATGTGGTGACCTGCATGGGGAAAGCCTGGTCCTGCCCTACAGACCCCTGGCAGGAGCTGTGATGAGATGCTTGTAAATGAATTGAAGTCCCGCCGATGTGGCGTGACATCTGGACCTGACAAGGACATGTATAAACATATTGTCTAGCCCTGAAAACAAACACACGATTCTCAGGGTTGCACTCTGTAAAAGTTTCTAGTTTGCAAACTAGAAAATGTTTGGAGGAGTTGGCCCCAAACCGGGCTTTAAGAGGGACAGTTGAAGGGACTGGGGACATTTAGCTTTGACAGAAGAAGTCTTGGCAGAATATGTGGGCTGTCTTCAGAGATCAGAAATGTTGTTAATGGGAAAGGATAAGCTTTGTAGCCCTAGATGGCATAGTCTGGAGAGTAGACTCTATGGGGTAGAATTTGGCTAATCAAAGCGGTCCTACTTTGGTCACCTCTAAAAATCCAAAGACACTTACGTTCCAGTGTACAAATCTTTATTGTTCTGAAAAGCACAACACAGGTATCTCAGCTTCTCCTGCAACCAGTTCCTATTGCCATTTGGTGAGGATTAGAGATTCTCCAGGCTTGCATCATGGGAGGAAGGAGCACTAATTTGATCAAGGACTAGAGAAGCCCAAGCCTCTTAGAACACAGTGTCCTTGTGTCAGGCCATTAATTTTCAGCTTTCTCTGTTGGTAGGATGATGAGAGAATTTTTCTTCTACTTATAGCCTAGTATTTTAAAATGAAGCTGGTGAATGAATGTTGGTGATAGAGCCCACTTGGCCTGGATATATGTGTTCCCTTCTCAGCTGCCCACAAGCATGTGCTCAGAAACAAACAGGCTCTCACGGCCTTCTCTGGTTGCCTGAAAGAGAGGCATATCAGCTGAGACACTTATTAAAATTCCATATTGTCTGGTCTATTCTCTGCAGATCTCAGATTAGTAGATGGGAGTGGGCTGAGAGCCTAGGGGACTCTGTGATCAGTCAGGCTTGGGAAGCTCCTGGGTAGGGAGAAAGAAATCATCACGAGCCCCTGTCGACCCCTTCATGCTGAGGTATTTGTCAGATCAGATATATGCTAAGGTTGGCAATGTGCTCACACCTGAAAATGACTTGGGAAGACAGTGGAAGTAGGAGCCCCAGGCTGATCCTTACTTCTGGGTCAGGGAAACTGGCTGGAAAGCACTGGAAGCTGGGAGATAGAGGATTGAAAGCTGTGCTGTGGTTCCCCCAACCCCCATCCCCATCCACGGCCAAGGTTGAGCAAGCAGGACCCAGTGGCTCCACCTTCTTGGCCTTTGCTCTTGTCCTTCTGAGCCTTCAGGGGTCACTGCCCACCAGGTTCAGCAGGGCATTCTTGTAGTCGCTGCTTGTGTCTTCCTGAGGACAGGAGGAACGTGAGAATTAGAAGGGGGGTTGGTTTGTGACACTGGCTTGACTTGGAGTCACCTCCATCAGGAGCAGCTGCTCTTATTACTAGGAGTTGTGCTTCTCTGGGGGAGACCTGGCACATCCCTCTACAGGTTCCTATGCCACAGGCCCCTCACTGTCACCCGTCTTTCTTTGTTTTCCATTTCAGGCTGTTTCTATTGCCACCCCCAATCCCCTACCACCTACCGCCCCATTCTGAAACATCTTAAAGCAGAAGTGTCTTTTTAGCATATTGTAAGTTATGTGTGTCTTGGAAAGTGTAGTGAACAATGGACACTTGTAGAATAACTAGAGGCTTGACTTAATAGCCAATGAAGACTTAGGGATATATTTCTCATGACTTGACTTCTGTTATTGAAGCCGTCAAGGCCTCATTTGGTATTAATGGCCAGAAGAGCTATTTCTCTTGAAGTTATAGCAGTGTGATAATCACTGTGTTTTCTCAGCTCTAGAACGTTCACTAATTGGAATCAGGTTAGGCAGCCCACTGGAGCTCATATGATTTATGTCCTTAAATTTTTGCTGTCAGGACTACCTGTATCTGTATTTGAATGCTACGCTTCGACTCCTACTAAACTATGTACCCTCACTGACTCTTCAGATATGGTTCCTTCTGCAAGGATTCGGTGTGTCATTTTCAAAGGGGCAACCATAACTCAAATGCAAAGCTAACTTTCTGGGTGAAACGTACAGGGGCCTCCACTAGCTACACCGACCTCCTTGCTGATCCCTGTACATAGCACACAGCAATGAATGCAAGAGTGTGATACCCACTGAGGAGGGACGGACACGTGTGACTTATGACATTGGTCACAGCCTTCAGGGTCCCCAGTAAGGTCTCTGTTTAAAACTGCTGTTAGAAATGGGAACTCATGGCTCACCATGATCATGCTGCTGAGGGTCTTGCCGTACATCTCCTTGAACCGACACTTGATGAGATTTAAGTCAATCTCACTCCTCGAAACGATGTTTCTTATCAGGGTCCCATCGTGAGTTCCAGCTCCCTGGATAAGACACAGCAGTCAACCATCACTTCTTGCCTTCCTGGTCCATCTCTGTGATAATGGACAAATCTATGTTGGGTTCAGGGGGCTTTCGTAGGGGATGGAGGTACAGGAATGAGCCTCCGCTTTAGCAGTGAAGCACTGAGAGGGATGCGCTGAGGGATGCGCTAAGGGATCCCCTGATCTCTTCTCACTCACTGCCCGTTTGTCTCTTATTAGACGCCAAATGCCCCAGATGGCAGTGTGTGTTTGATTTGCTACATCAGATTCTAGACTGCTCCAGGAATAAGGCCTCTTCCTAGGGTAGCAACATCATGAAATCAGCTTAACTGGCCAATTCACATGCAGGACCCTCCTACTCACTTTCATCCTTGATCACTCTCATGTCAGAGGGAGCCACGTGACCAAGGGAATCCCATGCCCTCTCTCATTTCCTGGCCAGATGTAGCCAGAGAGCTTGGGGTTCTTGCTTCAGGTGATGTTAGCAACCATCAATCAGTGAAGGTGGGCTGACTTTAATCTCCAGGAATTATTTTCACTATCTATCTTCCATTGTGGTTCCAGATACCAGAGCCTCCCCTGATATGAATGTCTTGAACATCTGAGCGGCCAGTGCCGCCTTTTGGACAACAGGCAAACCCAGACGGGCACCCTGGCACACGCAGCGTTGTTGAACTGCTGTGTGTGGCAATCTCCCTCTTAAACATGCCCGTTCAAAGGATGCCTTGACCTCCTGGCAATCCTGACCTGTGCTTTGTCAAGGAGGCCACGTGGGCAATGATGCATAAATAAAATCATGAATAAAAAAGACAATTGCACTGGCTTGGACTCAAATCAACACTTTGCCACCTACTAGCTGTGTGACCTTGACCACAAGCCTTGGTTTCACCCCCTCTGGGAGGGCAGATTACTGCATAAGTTTCACAGGATTGTGGTGAAAGTTCATTACCATGAACACCTGTTGAATGCACCTACTCAAATTCAGCCTTCAGGAGCTGTGGCTTCCCTTCCCTAGCTTGGTTTGCCCTTTGAGAACTAAAACCATTCTGGTCCACAAGAGGCTGGGATAAGAGGAGACCCAAGCGCCGAAGACTTGGGTGGTGGCTCTGAGCTCTTTGGCTTTGCAGCTGTGCCGTGTAGGACTGAAGGTCAGGCGCCCAGAAGACAGAACAGTTACCTTCATGGCATAGTAGATGCGCTCTGCAAAGCAGCTGTGGAGGTTCCGGGTGCATTTCACTGGCAAACAGGAAAGTTCTGTTAGCAACCAGAGGTTGTAGGCGACATTGTATACATGTTTATTTATTTATGTCTTGCTTTGGGTCTTAAGGGTTAGTGTTGTGCAAGTCTTGGCCTATTTATCTGTGCTCTGCCTAGTCCTAAAATGAGAGGCTTTGTGTCAGGAGGGGTGGGGCAGGGAAGGAAGCCCAGGGCACTGGGCACAGGTGCAAAGGCCGAGAGTAGGCAGACAAAAGGGCGAGGTGTGAATCGCACTGGGACCCACAGGGCTGGTCTGGCTCATCAGAGCACAGCTCCACCAAGGAAGTCCCTGGGCTTTTACATTCCAGACACAGCTTCACCAAGAATCTAGCCACACAGCTCCATGGAGGAGCCACCGTTGTGGTGACCACTGGCCTCTGAGTGCCTGCTTTACATGTCACCTCTCAGAGGGCCCCTGCAGATTGAATTCTCCTGTGACAGATGGGTTTTGGACCCAGAGCGAGAAACACCCAGGGCATCTGGCCCTATCCTCGCTTTCATGGATGCTGTTTCAGAGACTTGGTGTCTGGGTGGGGAGGTTGGTGTTTTAATCCAAGGTGGCAGAAAGAGCGAGGGCTTTGAGGGAGGTAGGCATGAGTTTGAACCCTGCTTGATGGCACCAGGTGCCTAGTGACTTGATCTCCCTGCCTTGCACCATCCTCACGTGTGAAGTGAGTGATCAGTCTTCAAGGATAAACAAACAGGAAGTGCCCAGCACACCAGGGCCCGGCATAGCCTTGCTTTTCCCTGCCTGTAGATTTTATTCAGGAGTTGTTTAAATCGGATCCAGGGGCTGCCTTTGGAAGCTGAGACTGGAGCAGGAGGCATGCTTAGATGCTCCGATATAGATTGGATTTATCACAGCAGTCAAAGGCAGCTGGGAGAGTCAGATGCCCCAGTTTACCCCCGTGGACCAGGACACACTGTGCAGCTCCCCTGGCTGCTCGGCACCCAATGGCCACAGCCTGGTGTGGAGGTGACCTTGGCTCCATCATGGGAGGGAGGAGGGAAGTCCCTCTGCCCTGGGCCTCAGTTCTTCACTCTGCAATGACTCCGCTCCCTGTCAACTTTGGCTCTGGACCCCAGGATGTGCTCTGCAACCTGTCCTCCTACATGAATCTGACCTCATGCTTCGTGGAAGGTTCTCAGTGTTCCCCTAGTGTCAGACCACCGATCACTCAGTTTGGATTCCAACGACACATCATCATTTCTTCAATCAGCAACTGAGGCAGGGACCAAACCCCTGGCTAAAGTCCAGCTAGGTGACTTCTTCAGGGCTTCAGTCAGAACCGGAATGTTCCTTGTGCGGCTGCTGTGGGTGAGCCAGGCCCCGGGCCCCGCACAATCCTGCACGTGTGTGCACACACTCACACGCACACACTCACACACACAACTCTCGCGCACACACTCATGTGCACACACTCTCGCATGCACACACTCACACACTTAGACGTGCACATGCACGCACACTCACGCATGCACACACTCACACCCACTCGCGCCCGCACACACGCAGTCTCACTCGCACACACATGCAAGCACACACACTCATGCACACACGTGCACACACTCATGCACACGCACATACATGATGACACACTCATACGGCACTGGGCACTCTGTGGGCAGCACAGAGAACAATCTCTGGCACACTGAGGACACGAGGGTCTCCCCTAGTAGCTCCAGTGTCCTGGGTGAAGGGTACATGCTGAGAGTGGCGGCCGGTGTGGAGGTTGGCTTTGAAGGTGAACATAGGGACCCAGCACTTGCTATTGCACCCTGGGCCCTTCGCCCTTTGGTGCTGCCCCACTTCTGAGCCCCAGGGCCAGCGGACACACGTGAGCCCGAGCACGGAGCTCCGTCTCTCACCCACTGTGAGCATGGCCTCCTCCAGTGAGCCGTGGGTCTCACTCTGGATGCTGTCCTCAATGCTCTTGCTGGCGATTTTCTCATAGTCCTCAAACACTGTGGAGAGACGCCTTCTCTCAGGGGACACGCGCATCTCAGCGTGACGCCCCCCCCGCATCTCAAACAGGAGACTGCACATCAGTGCACCACCCCTGGCCTCCACTTGGCTGCTGGGGAAAGGGTCCGGGGCCCCTTGGCTCTTTCCCCAGCTCCACGATTTGACAAGGCCGCGCACTGGGCACGCGGTGTGAAGGGGGAGGGCCTCCCTGCCTCCCCGGTGCCTCTCTTCAGGTGGGTGGCACCGCGCCTGCACAGGATGCTGATGAATTCCATCTCATCAGCCCCACAGATCTTCTCCCCCGCCGCGTAGAGGTCCTGGCATTGGGACGCCCACGACAACCAGTGAAGGCGGGCAAGGGGGGTGAAGAACAGCCCCCCATCCACCCTGCCAGGTTGGCATTCTCCTCTGCTCGATCATCTTTTTGACTGGGAGCCTGCTATCCCCGTGGTTAAATTCTCTTCTCGATACCGGGCTGCTCTAGGAACTGTCCCGCCTCCCCTCTGGGGCTTTGCTCTGCCTCTGGACACCTTCAAGAGCACTGCCAGCAGACAGACCTATAGTGAGCTGAATGCACACATCTGGGCCTCGGAGGCCCAGCATCCCTGGGTTCGTAGGCTGTTCCTGCCCGGGCAGAGCTTCAGTGAACCCCACCCAAATCAATCTCCTTCCTCCCCTCCACCCTCACTTCCCTTTGCAGACACCAGAGGGTAAAGGCCTGCAGAGAGCTGAGCCAGGGCCCAGCCTAGCATCAGAGAAAACCCCCGTGGGCAGAGGGGCTGGGTGAGGCTTTTAGGCTTCAGCACCCCGGAGTCTAGATGGCAGAGGGTGGGGTTCAGGGTGGCCTGCAGGGCAGAGCTGCTGAGGGGTAGCCTTACCTGTGCATCTTGCAGGGCCAGTCCTGGGTCCACGAAGCCACACAAGTCATCTCTGCTGCCCTAGGAACAGAAGAGGCGACTCTGTAAGGCAGGCTGGCTGAGCAGAGCAGCCGGGACAGAGGGGACAGCCAGGTAGGAAGGCAGGCAGTTATCCTCTCCAGGCCTTGGCCTCTCATCCGTAAAGGGAGAGTCATAAGGAATGTCCCGTAAGGAGCTGCGGGACTCAGTGAGCAAAAGTGAGCCACGTGCCTGGCATGGGGCCTGGTGGGAGGGACCTGCTCAGTGACGGGCCCTCTCCTACTTTCTGGAGAGGTCCGGGGGCTCTGCCATGAGGACACTCCGAGCCCGCTGGGATGTACCCAGTGAGCCCAGGCCCCAGTGGCTGTACCACACCCTTGCCCCCCACCCCACCCCAGTAGCTTTGCCCAGGAGCCACTCTCTGAGGGGGGATCTGTGGGGATCCCCGAGACAAGGGGCTCCCAGGAGGCTGGGCTGTGATACCTGCAGGAGGCACACCAGGATCCTCTCCAGGTAGCCGCTGGTGTCTGCTTGGATGTCTTCCTCCAGGCTGGACCAATAGTCTGCAGGGCATCAGGACCATGAGGCTCAGACCTGCTTCCCTCCTCCTCGCCCCATTTCTCACCCTTTTCCTGACTAAAGCCTTCCAGGAGAGGTGAGTCCTTGGCACAGGGAGAGTTTGCTCTGTCCAGGTGTCTGAGTGGCAGAGGCTCCCTGCTGGTGGTTGTTCAGACCTAGGAAGCAACATGGGATGCCAGCCAAGCTCAAAGCACAAAGATGGGCCAGGCCAGAGAGCCAGGGGCTGCTGATTGAGCCTTATTTCATCACGTGGTTCGGCAAAGCCAGGAACTTCCGGTGGACTCCCCACCAGGCAGACATTGTGGAGGATGGGCTTTGCCTCGCAGCCCACGAGAGCTGGCTAGGGCTCCACACCCGCCACTGCAACGGGGCCCTGCATGGTCCCCAGGGTCAGCCTGTGCCTGGCCAGGAAGGTGTCAGCCCCGCCCACTGCTGACACAGCCAGCGGCCCGCAGTGCTGCCACACTGTCAAGGGGCAGAGAACTTAATGGGTGCATGCCCTCCCCCGCAGCAGCCCATGCGCTTAGGGAGCTCAGAGACGGATCCCGACTCATATCCAATCTCACTGTCAGGCACGGGATTTGGCACACAGAAGGTGCTCAGCATCTGTGTGTGGAAAAGCCCAGAAAGAATCCTTTCCAGTGTGGCCCTGTACACGGCTTGTCTCTTATTTGCCGCTAGGCTGCCAAAGCTCATGGTCATTCCCAAGCTAGCCTTTAACTCAGGGCCACATCCTCCCTCTTAGCAGGCCCCTTACCCTCCTCATATGCCTTCATTATCTCCTGCAGCTCTTTCTTGGTCCGAGAAGCCAGGATTTCGATGATGACGCCTTCTCTGGTTCCTAAGCCCTGTGGATAAGAACCTCTGCCTGCTGGAGAGCTCTGTCCATACCCTCCTGCTCTGTCCGCACCCTCCTGCTCTGTCCGCACCCTCCTGCTCTGTCCGCACTCTCTTTTGTCAAGAGGCAAAAGGAAGAGTCCTAGGACGAACCAGTTAGCGCTCTGCTTGGGGGCCTCTGCTGGAGGATGTTACTGGGGGAGATCACGTGCATTTGTCTCCAGTGGTGGATACTTGTGGGCAAGTGATGTGATGGGAGAGCTGTGTCTCAGCTCAGCCCTCTATAGCTGGGTGGTCCCAAACAGGTCACTCCACCTCCCTGAGCCTGAGGGTCCTCATCAGGACACAGGGATAATAAGTCCCACCCCGAAGGTGGAGATAATAGATGTAAAATGCATGGCATGTCCACACAGTAAGTGCCCTTTCAATTTTTCTTTTTTTTCCTGCACTGTGCAGCATGTGGGATCTTAGTTCCCCAACCAGGGATCGAACCCGTGCCCCCTGAATTGGGAGCATGGAGTCTTAACCACTGGACCACCAAGGAAGTCCCTTTTCAAATTTTTTTTTTTTTGGAGTAAGTACCCTTTCTTTCTTCTTTTAAATTAAATTAAATTAAATTTTTTTATATAGCAGGTTGGTATTAGTTATAAGTGCCCTTTTTTTTTGCGGTATGCGGGCCTCTCACTGTTGTGGCCTCTCCTGTTGCAGAGCACAGGCTCCAGACGCGCAGGCTCAGAGGCCATGGCTCACAGGCCTAGCCGCTCCGCGGCATGTGAGATCTTCCCGGACCGGGGCACGAACCTGTGTCCCCTGCATCGGCAGGCGGACTCTCAACCGCTGCGCCACCAGGGAAGCCCTATAAGTGCCCTTTCAATGGAGATGATTATTATTACTTGATCCTGACTCCTTCTTAATCATCTTCGAATGCAAAAGGAGCAGTGGGAAGTAACGGGAAATTGGGGGACCAGGCACGAGACAGCAGAGGCTGGTTCCTAATTCCTGCACACCTGGTCTAGCAATGTCCTGAGAAGGACGCATTTTGGCTCCATCAAGGCCAGATGATGGCGGAGGCCAGTCTGTGTTTGGTGGCAGTCTGAGTGATAGGGACAGAGTAAAGGGACAAAGAAAGTGATTAAATAGTTAATCCCACTAGGGCATTGTCAGTAGAGAAGAAAAGTATGGGAGACCCCTGTCAGTTAATGATCACTCAAGAGACCAGGTTTGCTTAACCACAAAACCAAGCAGGCTTGCTTAGCAACAAAACCGTGCAACAGAAGCATGGCCCCCAGACAATAAAACAATGGTGGAACGAGACCCACATCCTGCCCAGTGAACTCAGTAAGTTAATGATTCCTAGAACATGCTCCTCTGTGCACACTAAAAACAAAAATATAAGGAAAAGGTGATATTATACTGAAACCTGAGATGATTTACCATATTTTAGTATACGTCACATCCTTTTTGCTCATTTCCATTGCACCACGACAGTCCCGGTTTGACCATGAAACAAGAAACAAGGGACAAGAAAACTCCCCTGCCTGACATGGAGGAGGGAACTGATGACAGAAGCGTGAAGTCTACTCAAGAACGAGGAAGAAGGTGGTCTTCTCCCCCTCCCCACTCTTCCTTTGATTATGAAACAGTAGGGCTTCCCTGGTGGCGCAGTGGGTTAAGAGTCTGCCTGCCAGTGCAGGGGACGTGGGTTCGAGCCCTGGTCCGGGAAGATCCCACATGCTGCGGAGCAACTAAGCCCGTGAGCCACACCTACTGAGCCTGCATGCCACAACTAATGAAGCCCACGTGCCTGGAGCCCGTGCTCTGCAGCAAGAGAAGCCACTGCAATGAGAAGCCCGTGCACCACAACGAAGAGTAGCCCCCGCTCGCCACAACTAGAGAAAGCCCATGTGCAGCAACGAAGACCCAATGCAGCCAAAAATAAATAAAAACAAAAAAAACAAAAAACAAACAAAAAAACCTGTAGCCCACTAAGTTCTTGGGGTAGCACCCTCTTGCCCACCTACTTGTAAGCCCCACAAGAGTCCTATTCTAATAAATCACTTCTTATCTATCACTTTGCCACTCACTGAATTCTTTCCGTGCTGAGATGGAAGAACCTACGCTCTACCGAGTCCCGAAACATGTTGTATGATTTCACGAGCAGCAGGCTGCAAGCTCGCTGGGCTCGTTCCAAACAGTGGCTCAAGGGGAGCTCAGAACTCCCTGTGCCAGGCTTTCTGGGGAAAGCAGTCCTGGGCATCGTTCCCCCACCCAGTCCTTGTAAGTGTTTCTGCCCCCCTCACCCCCCGTCCCACTTGCTTGGTTACCTTCATGGCGTCGTACAGCTCCTTGGCTTCGTATCTGTATGGAGTGTACATGAGGGCTATGATGAGCCTCTCGAACTTGGCGCTCAGTTCCGACTTCAGCGTCTCGATGAGGTCCTAAGGCAGGAGCAGGGAAGGGTGGTGCTCTGTGCGCTGTGTCCCCTGGAGTGCAGGCAGCGGGTGCTGGCTGGGCCCAGGGGCTCTGGCTGGATTTCCACGTGGGCTCTGCCACACGCTGGTGCTGGCTGGGGCTTCTTGGGCCAGCAACTCAGCCTCTCTAAGCATCCTTACCCTTTTCTGTGAAATAGAGACCTTGGTGCTCCTGCTTCATACCATTGCTTAGGCGATTGGTGGAGAGATGTCGAAATTCCTCTTAGCGCAGCGCCGGGCACACCATGAGCCCGAAATACAAGTCTGTCATTAAGCTCATCAAGTCCCTGTCACTTAGCCCATAGACAATGAATGAGTGAAATGAATTAAGGAATCTATCTCACGTGTGTCTCCTTCTAAGGGCACTTATATTCGAAAGAAACCACAAGGCCACACCCAGCTGATCTCCCCTCACAGCACAGCGAAGGACCAAGGGCCTTGTCAGACCTGGATTTAAACCCCAACCTTGTTGCTTATAGGCTCTGGGATCCTGGGCAACATCCTCCACGTCTCAGAACATGAGTTTCCTCTGACGTCGAATGCAGAGCATAATGCATCGTTGTGAAGGTTAAGAGAGAGAAATTATTTTTTAGGAGAGCACGTTGGTTTCTCCCATGGAGTGTTTGGGCTTCATCATTCATCTTCCTGGGTCAAGTGTCCACATTACCAATGTGTGCTAATGGAGGCTTCCGGCCACCATGGCTCTGTGTGCATTTATTCCTGTGTTTAGCTAGGATGCCGATGCCTCGCTCTGTCCTGGGGGCGGCGGGAGGAGGGACAAAGGGTCCAGGCGGCATGCTCCCTGCCCTTGGATTTCGCCTGTGGCAGGAGGGGAGGGGCACGGGAAGAGCAGCTCCAACACGAGGAGACAGTCCTGCGGCACGGCACAGAGCAGAGCCCGGCCTGCATCTCTGGCGTGTGGGAAAGAGAAGGGCCTTCCAGTCTTGGGGAATAGGACAAGGAAAGCATAGAGGCAGGGAAACAGCTCAGGGATGGGGCCGTGGAGCAATTGTAAAGGAGCAAGTGAGAGAGAAGGTGGGAAAGGAGGTTGGGGCCAGACATCAGAAGGCTGGACCAAGCCAGGGCTGTGGGGAGCCATCAGTAAGATTTCAGAGTTAAATCTGATTTTCAGAGAAACAATGCATCATGTTTTTAGTGTATGTCCCAAATGCCCCATGTTGCCAGTGCGCTGGGCTCTAGACCAGCTGGACCTCATCCAGCAAGGCCCTGCCTGCAAGGCTGTCTCTGGCAGCAGTGGTGCCTACAGCCCCCCGACCACAAGTGCCCCCCTTTACCTTGCCAAACTGAACCATGAAGGACTTGGCGATCTGCTGCCTCTGTGCGTTGCTTCTCTGTATGAGCACATCGATGATGGCCTGCTCGTTGGTCCCTGCGGGGGGCACAGTATGAGCACCCTCATTGCCCCTGGGGGACTGAAGAGGGCTGGGGAGGAGGGAAGGTAGCTGTTTGGTGGCCAAGCAGTGGGGACGCACCACCTGGAAACTCCCAAACCTGATGATTTTCGTGGTGTACACAAGACAGAAAACCCATCTGTCCCCCCCATCCACACAATGTTGGGGTGCAGCCAGGCCCAGCCTCACAGCGATAGAATCTGAGGCCCCTCTGGTTATCTGATCTGCTCTGGACATCAGCTGGAAACTCCGGAGCTCAGGCAGCGGGACCTCCTGCCCTGCCCTCCCTTGTGCTGGTGGCCATGGGGGAGGATGGGGACAGAGGGTCCAGAAAACTGGATCTGAGTCCTGGCCCAGCAGCTGGGTGAGTAGAAGCCTCACCTCCCCAAGCGTCCACATTTTTCTTTGGGAAGTGGAGATAATAATAAAGATTTCACAGGGAGCAGAAGACGGAACATGATTTCTCAGCTTGTCTGGGAATGGCAGTTTTTGTTAATGCCCCAATTCACCAGTCAGAGCCAGTTAGAGGGTAAATCCTGCCTGCGTGACAGCATGAGGGCTGTCTGGGCCGGGTTATCCAAACCCCAGCGGGCCTCCGCCAGCCCTTTCCTGCTCACACACAGGAAAGCAGGCGCTGGAGACAGGACGGTCAGCTCTGCACAGCTCCCAACATAGTCCCATCCGAAATTCAGTGACACGCAGGGTTCAGAGCTCTCGGGGCCGTTTTATGAGGGAGATAGCGCAGACTGAATGGGGGGAGGTCTCTTGCACAAGGACTCGCAGGAACACACAGCAGATGGCCTCCCCCTCCCCACCCCCATTACTCGCAACTGCCCTCCCCCCTCTCCAGTCTTGGGAGTCTGTGTAGACCTGTTCTGGGGAAGGTGGGCCCTGTGTGATTCTCTGGGTGCCAGAGGATTATGGGGAGACGCTCATTCCCAGGGCTGTGAGCAGAGGGGTCTTGAGCAGAGTGGGCAGAGCCCCAGAGAGTCACGGTGTTCTGGGTCAAGGCCACTCACCGATCCCCTTCATAGCTTTGTAGAGGGTCTCTGCGTCGGGGTCTGGGTTGAAGTGGGGACTGCTCTTCACCGAGACACCCTTCTGTTCAGTCTGCAAGAGAAGCCACGCCTGCTTAAAGCAGGAATGTGGGGACGGCAGCGCCCCTTGCAGCCAGCCCAGCAGGGTGAGCACCAGCTCGGCCCCTGCAGACCAGCGGCTGAGCCTCCATCCGTCCTGGCCCTGCCCAACCATCCAGGGTGAGGGGAGGCCCAGGAGAGGCTGCAGCTTCTGGACATGCTAGTTTCCATCAGGTCGTGCTGAGGAAGGGGCACCTTTGTCCACTTTGCACTAGGTTGCCATATGGTCCTCTCAGGTCAGGGCTGCAGAAGACCCACGTGCCTATTAGCCCCTTGGCCAAGGGGAGGCCTGTCCTGCCAGCTTGGCCCTCAGGCTGGAAGGAGGGGCCTCCTGAGGAGGACTGGGTCGGCGCCACCCGGCCACCCTAAGAGATGGAATCCCAGCTCTCAGCCCCAGTGCCAGCCCTGGGGAGCTGGGGCTTGAAGGCTCAGACGGTGTAGGGAAGGACCTCAAAGGTGGATGGCACTGTGGCCACTGCCAGAGCCTCCGTGCTGACTGTGGGGCAGCAAGAAGAGGCTCTAGAGACTGGACTCCAGCCTTTGGTGTTGGGAGCCTCATCTGTCTCCTGAGACTCCCATGGCCAGCTTCCCCGTGGGGACCACACCTCCACCCGCTCCTACACACCCAGCAGCCCCGTGCCACGCCTCCTCTGTAGCTCTGGGTCCTTAGATCCACAGTTGGCCATTTGTTTTCTCCTTGCTTGCACTTCCTGGGTTTTTGTGACGATCAATGGACTTTAAGGAAAAAAATAAAAACAACCAAAAAATTTGGAGAGATAGAGTTGGGGTAGGGGCCCTGGCCTGAAAAAAGATCAGCAGGGGTTTGGGGGGGCCGCTGAAGAGGGAGAATCCTTCAGAGTCCAGTGATGGTTTTACTGTGGTGACAGGGCACAACAATGGAATCTCCTAGGAGATCTGTGAGGCCAGATGACCCAGGGGCTATTCACTCAGAGGCGTTAGCTGTGTAGGGAAGGGTACCCCCAGAGACAGTGGCCTGACTGTGAGGGATTGCTGGTTCCCCTTGGGGCTCTGTGGGACTGCCTTGTCTCCTGTGCAGAATGGCTGCAGAACGGCCCCTTGTTTTAACAGGCTGGCGCCAGCCAGAGCCACAAAACCTCTCCCATCCCCGCCCCGTCCTGGGGCGTGGGCTCTGAATCAGGCTGCATGTCTCCCAGGCAGTGCCATCTGAGGGCAGGCAGCAGGAAGGGACAACCCTGCTCAAAGCTACAAGGACAGCGATCAAGCAAGGAAAGGCTTAGTGGAGCTGAACACGCTGCCTCCCTACTCCTTCTATCCACCCCTCATCCACTCATCTACTCTTCCACCTACCCACCTACCAATCCACTCATCCATGCATCCATCCATCCAGGCAGCCAGCCATCCAGCCATCCAGTCAGCCAGTCAGCCATCCACCTATCCAATCACCATATCCATCATTTTTTCCTCCCTTTCTTCCTTCCTTCCTGACCCTGGTCAGATCCTGAAAATACAGAGCAGCTTCCCATCCATGGTATATCTGTAAGGATATTTCTTTTGAGTAAAAAGTCTTTCCCTATCCTTTGCTTGAATTTCAAATATCTGGTGACAGATTTTCCTACGTTATTTCTTAGCACCATGTTTCACAGAAGAAATTACGAGAAGTAATCCCCTGTGCAAATTTCATCCAGAGAGTCTTTGTGGTCCCAGATGTTGCCCAGCTGCATGCATGCATCTATTGCATCCCTTTTTTGTGGAGTCATGGGCAGCTGTGACTACTGTCAGTGATTTGAGCACCTCCTATGTGCCAGGCCTTGTGTGTTAGAGGCTTTAGGTGCTTTAGATGCAATGCTCTTCTTGCTGTCTCGGCCAGTCACACTAGGTAGCTATGAATGCCCCATTTTACAGCCTGGGCTCGGAGCGCCTGGTTACGCAAGGTGCGCAAGGTTACGCACCTAGTAAATGGTGGTGCTGGATTTAACCCACAGCCTGATTCAGAAGCTAAGCTCTGTCTGCCGCCCCCCTGCTCTCAATGACTCAACCTTTCCCAGACATTGAGTTTTCCCGGTACCCTTCGCTGAAGGAAACCTTGCCCACAGGGATGCAGGTCGTTTGTGAGCATGGGGTCATGTCAGATCTCAGTGCTAAGCTCTGGAGGCTACCCAGGAGGGGCTCTCCCCCGTCCCTTACCGCAGACTGGCACTCAGGGGGCTGTGCAGCAGTGACCGACCAGGCCATGTGTGCCAGTCACCACGGAGTGGCCTATTCAGCGGGTCTGAGGTTGGGCTCCGGTGGCAATGTTTGTAACTAACGCCCTGGGGGTTGTGATTTCATTGCATTGGGGAGCCCCAGCCTTACCTCCCACGCTAAGGTGTTAGGGGGAAAAAAGACAAATTTCTGGGAATCAGACCCCTCCCTAGTGGGTGGTTCTATCTACCCACTCCCCACCCCATGTTGGAGGAGGGGTCTGCCTAGGCCCTTGCTGGGTCTTGCACAGAGCAGACTAGTCCAGACAGGAACGTTTTCACTGAAAAGGTGACTCAGCCTGGCTTGTGACTCTGTTACGTGTCTGTGAAGGTCTCAGGGGAGCTGCCACGCCTTTGCCTTCCCCCATCACAGGGCTGCCCCAGAGAACTTGGGAGGCAGAACTTCATTTCCACAAGAGAGGCACAGACAGGCCCCCCTCAAGCTGATCTTTCATGCCCCTTGGCTGCCCTTGCCTTGTGGGTGGCCGAACCCCATAGAGTTTGAGCTCTGGCGTCAGGTTGCTCAGAGTCTAACCCAGACTCCAACACTTCGTAGTGTGGCAACCTTGGGCACCGTCTTAGTCTCCTTGTGGCTCCGTTTCTTCACCTGTGGGTAAGGATATTGGCATCTATATTGTACCGCAGAGGTGTACAGAGGCTCAAGTGAGATATTGACAGAGGAAGGTCCAGGGCACAGTAGGTGCTCAAGGAATGTCATTGTTATCCTGTCAGGTTGTCATCCAGCCTCCCTGCAAGGAGGCTTCTGCCTGCCTGTCTGGGTGGGCCCCAAGGATGGGCCTTTGCCCCGTCCCACTGGGAGCAAGGCCCAAAGTCAGGCCACCTTGGGCAGCAGCTGACTTTGGAAAGTGCCCAGCACTGGACTCTCCCTGCCACGTCTGCCTCCTCAAAGCCTTGTTCCCCATCAGCCAGGATGAAGCTGGAGGCCTCCCTGGCCCTTGCCCTCTCCTGGCTGTTTCACTGGGGCCAGATGGCTGCCACACCTTGCCCCTGCTCTCCTCTCTGTCCCACCTGTCCAGGCCCAGCATGTCTGAATCTGAGGGCCCCTGGGTTGTGACGTTTGTGACAAAGAGATTTCCTGAATTAGGATAAGCCCGGGTCACCCACTAAGACTCACAGAGAGCCTGGGGGCAGGGACAGAGAGAGACCCCAGTTCACACTAGACCCCCACCTGCTAGCTGTGGGACTGTGCAAGTTACTAGATATGGCTGAGCCTTGGTTACCTCATCTGTGAAGTGGAAATAGCAGCCCTGATATCCCAGGGCTGCCTGGGGATGAAATGAAGGGAGGTGTGTGGAGCACACAGCGCTGTGTCTGCCCGGGGGACATCACCTGCTCCTTCTCTTCGTCCCCCTTTTGTGTTTTCAACTCCTTAGCATGAGACAGCGTCGGACTCAAACCCAGATAAAACACTCCTGAGAATCTGTTCATTCACTGGACATGGGAGACTTGGGGGCAGGATGTGCTGTCCCCTTAACTCAGCCATCTGTCACTCTGTAAATTTCACTCATGGATTTCAAATGTGGAAGGCCCCTGCGGCCCAGGTCGTCCTCCCATCCCCTGCGGAGAAGACGTTGATGAGTCCTCTAACATCAGCCCATTCAATCAGGTGACTCTCCGGCTCAAGGCCCTTCAATGGCTCCGCATTGCTCTCAGGGTGGAGCCCAAGCTCCTTAGCCTGCCATGCACAGCTCTGCAGCACCCGGCCCTGCCTGCTTCTTTAGGTGCATTTCCCCCGACCCTCTACCTTCCCATCCAGGACCCTCAAGCTTACTTCTCTTTAAAGCCAAGCTTCCCAGTCTTCTGAACCTTTGCACATACTGTTCCCTCTTTAAGGAAACATCTGCCTGATTCTCCCTAAACACACACATGTGCATACACCGCACACACACACACACACACACATACACACATGCACACGCACACACATGGACATATGACTCAACCATGACTCCCCCTTGTTTCCAGCAGCCTGACCCCTCCCTTTGGGCTCCCCCAGCTCCTCAGCTTCCCCAGGTGCATTTCAAGTTTTCTTTATCTGCCCATCTCCCCTGTTCCCATCCTGGCCACCATGAATGCCTCTGGGACCGGGGCAGTATCTCCTTGTCTTCCTCCCCAGCGGGCAGCCCAGTCCTGTGCCTGCCCTGGCAGGAAACAGAGGGTTGCCCGAGCTGACCTCTCTCTAGGCCAACACCACGGGGGAACCCTCCACCTCCGCTTGCTCTGCACTTACCCAGGCTTTCCACCAGGCCATCTGGTTTACCTCGGCGCGCCTTTTGTCAGGGAGATGAAGATGCACCGGTCAGGCCTCCCTCCACTCTGAGACTCTGCACACTTGGCCCTGCCGCACTCAGAAGAGCAGGCGGCTTGGGGTTGGGTGTGGTGGCACCAGCATGCAGGCCCCAGGCCCCACCCCGTACCACACCTGCACACCACCCCCCCCCCACCCCCGTCCTGCCCCCGGGCTCTGGGCTCCTCCTGTGGCTCTCAGGCCCCACCCTGGCACCGGCCCACATGCCCTGTGGAAACACACCGCTGGCCGCCAAATGTCTGAGCTGTGGCTGTTACACAGACTGGGAATGCTGAGCTCCAACCTGTGAAAACCCCGCTTAGCAAACACGGGTCTTCATTCGGTCTTTGCTAGACCTGATCTATAAAAAGGAGTCTATTTATTGCACGGCTTCTCCCCAGTGAACAATATAATGGGGAGCTCTGCAAAGGACATAAAATAATGGCAGCCTCCGCTGGTTGGGGCGTCTCTATGCCTAGATCCCTCTTTAATCGCTCTGTGCACTCTATCCTCTTTAATCTTTGTCACAAAAGTTAAATGGAAACTCCAAGGTTTAGACAATTGGCATAAATCACACTTCTGGTGGGAAAAAGCCACGTGATCCACCAGGCCTCTTGGACTTGCCCGCTCTGCCACGGGCCCTGCAGGACACGCTGGCTGCCAAGGGAGAGAGGAACCTCTTGGAAAGAGGTTAATTTTTTCCTTTCTGGAGTCTGCCCTCCTTGGGGCCTCTGCCTAGAACATTCCTTAGCACCACTCTCCCCATGCCACCCCTTAACCTGCCCTTCACGGTAAAGACCTTGTCTCAGCGACTACCCGGTAACCCCTCCATCCTGGGGTTACTTCCTCAGGGCTTCCAGAACCCCCATTGCTCCTAGGGCCCCAGAGAAAAACAGTCCCACGCTGGTGTGACTTGCGTTCAGTGAAACCTCTCAGGCTGTTGATGAAAAATTAATTGGTTGATCTAAGAAAGCAATGGAAAATTTTATTCGAGCCAAATTTGAGGATTATAACCAGGGAAGAGCATCTCAGAAGGCTCTGAGAACTGTTCCGCCTGTTAGAAGTCAAGGCACAGCTATATAAGTCTTTTGAGACAGAGGGCTGTACATTAAATGACGTGTTATTAATAGTTTACGCAATCCAGATCTAAGCGCCATGTGACCCCTTACAAGATCAAGAAGGAATGTTATCTTTTAAGGAATTGTCCAGCCTGTGCCAGGAGAATGTTGCTCTTTATGACGGAGCAAGTGTTTCTGCCCACGGGAGGTCTGGTGCCGGATGTACAGTGCGGGAGAGGGGAGGCCAAAGGGCAGAGAAAATTGTTGTTTAAATTTTTCTTGTCTTGCCATAAAATACGAATTTTATTTCATAAGGGTAGTAGGTAAGAACTGTCCCCTCCGGATTCCTGACCCTGGTTCCAGTGCTCCTTTCTCTACACAGTCCCCAGGCTGTTCCTTCTGGAAGTGAGGGCTGGGCGGGTGGGGAGGGAGCTGTGCCAGCATGCGGAGGGGAGGGGAGGCAGCTGGGGCCGGGCGAGTAGCCGCTGCCCAGGGCTGCCGTGGGAACTGGACGGTCATCACACAGAGCTGTGGGATGCCACCATAAGAGGAAGGCTGCAGCTTGCTTCAGGTCACACGGACTGAGACAGGGCCTGCTTGGGGCCCCAAACTCCCCACCCTCCTTGGGAGCCCTTGGAGCCAGAACCAAGGCGTCCTCACTGGTGAGTCTTTCTCGGGACCTCAGCTGCTCACGGGGGCCGTGCCCACGTCATGCCATGAGGATCAGGGTCTGGGGAGTGGGTATCCTCCAGGGGGGTCTGTCCAAAGCCAGTTATGAGGATGACCCTAGCTAAGTCACCCCAGTGTGGTGGCCCTGGGCCGAGCCCAGAGAGAAACTCTGGACTCTGAGACCAAGACAGGCCAGAGCCCGGTGCAGAGAGAATGTCAGACAGGGTCCTGCCCTCTGAGGGTCCACAGTGCACAGCGACCCAGTGAGGTCGTAGGAGAAGTCCTGTCCTCGGTGACCTGCTCCCTCCAGCACTTGGGCCCTCTTCTCAGGTCCCGCCCTGACCAGCTCCTGCAGGCAGGACCTCACCTTCGTTTTGAAACTCTGGACTTAGCTTCTAGGATGGCCAGCACCACTGGCCATTCTTTATCATCTCTTTTCTGCAACCAAACTGTCCCCTAGGACTCCTCCCTGGGCTTCCATTCTTCCCCGTTTTTGTTGGTGGTTCTGAGGCTAGGCTGCCCTTTGGGCTCACCTGGGTACCTCCTACCCCAGAGATGAGAGCCCCAAGGTCCGCACCTGCTCTTTTGGGGTGCCCTTGGCTCAACGTCCCCATCCCAGAATCACCCACTCACATCATGTCACTATGGGTCTCTGACGTCCTGAGTCATCCCCACGTCCATTCTGGAAGCTCTCACCCACCCACTTGTGCCCATAGCCTGCCCTTGTGCCTACTTCCTCCTCCTGAATGGCCTTTCCTCACTCCTGGCTGGGCGTGGGCATCTCGCCGGCCCCGAAGAGTGATCCTCTTCCCCCACATTACCTGGCTGGGATAGCCATGTGATGTCACCGAGTCAGGCAGGAAGAAGGTGCCCGAAACCATGGGGCTTGCTCAGCCCTGCTGAGTGAACCCTGGCCTGGCGTCAGGCAGGGCTGGGTCTGGATAGCCGCACCCTGGGATGACTGAGCACTCTGTGTGGGGTCCTCATGGGTGAAATCTTTGTGATCTGCGCTTCCCACCGCTCAGACGGGGACTGAGGACCACACACAACAATGAGGCTGGCAGAAGCCGGCCTGGGAGGTGCTCAGTACCTAGCCAGGCCAAGCTAGAGTTCTTGTGAGGAATGTTAGGCTCTTCTGATCGGGGAGGGGGTCTCAAGATCTCCAGCCTCACATTTCACTCAAGAGCGATGGCGCTGCTGTGTTCCCAGCGCTCAGCTGAGAGCGGGCCATGCTGAGCCTGCAACCCTGGCCCGGAGGAGCAAAGCCTGTCCACAAAGCCCTGTAAGCTGCAGGTGAGTGGCAGAGAGGAAGGCAGAGGATGCTGTCGGAACAGACAGCAGGGCAGGGGGTTGGGTCTCATCTGGATCCCCGTGTTGGGAGGCTGCTCTGAGGAAGCGATGTTTCTCTGGGCCCTGATGAATGGTTGCAGTTAGCCCAGGAACAGGGCTGCAGGTGGGGTAGCAGACAGGCAAAATGGAGGTAAGGGATGCCCATGGTGGGGTGCTCATGTCCAGGTCGGGTGTGTGTGCCCGGGGCTAACTACCCATTAGAATGAGGGAGGGACACGTGGGAGGGTGTGGCCTGTTCAGGACGAGAACAGCTGCAGTCACCAGGGAAAGTAATGGGGACCACACAGGAGCCTTGCAGGCCGTGGAAAGGGTTTCTGCTTCGCCGGAGCACACTGAGGCAGTATGGACGGCACACAAAGGAGAATGGCATGCTCTGGTCCAGATTCTGGAAGCCTGCAGCTGTGTGGAGCCAGTTGGGGGGCCGGAGACCAGGCAAGTGAGGAGGAGGGGACATGGGGTTGCAGACAGACAGGGGAGAGATGGAAATGGCGGCAGGATGCGGGTGTGAGCGACAGAGATGTCTCGCAGTGCAGGGAGTTGGAGGCCAAGAGGTCAAGGGTCAAGAGGTCCTGTGTCATCCTGTGGATGTTGAAGTTGCCGGGGATAACAGTGGGCTTTGGGCTGTGGGGCAGTGTCAGCCAGGTGCCCGAGTCTACAGTGAATGAGGAGTAGAGGATGCTCATGGGCAGCAGGGTGGAGGATGGCAGAGCAGAGTGGCCGGCCTCTTCCACGGGGCCCCGACGGCATGCGGGGCCCTTACACTTGGGCACGCTGGGCTCTGGCAGAAGGGCTGGGGCCGGCCCGCTGGCACAGACCCAGCTGCCCCAGCCATGAGTCTGCTGCTCATCACAGGAAGCTGCACATTTGGTAGGAAGCCTGTGGGTGGGACAAGGCCATGCTGAGGGCTTAGGGCAGGGTCCCCCCAACCCCCCTAGTACTCTGCCATCTCTCTAGGTTTTCAAGCAATATCTCCAGTCTCCAGAGAGGGGAAAAATAGCTCTCACCATTGACAGTGTGATAGAAGGGGCCACATAATGGGCATGAAATCAACTAAGAAGTGAAACAAAAGTCTCCATCGTGCTTGTTCCATGACTCTGCTAACACTGTTTTAAAACTGATTTTTAAACTGGGCTAGTAGGCAAACATAAGCTCTGAACACGAACAGTTTACCACATCACACCAGCTTCCTGCCATCCTGTCCTCAACAAGGCACCTGGGCACCCAGTGCCTGAAGCTATAGGACAGGAAGGCCCCTGGGGGGCGAGGGTGGGACCGTAGGCAACGCCCATTAGCCCCCTGTGCCTTCTGCTCCCTGGGCCCCCAGGGTTAGACTGCTGCTGACTTAGGCCCAGCCCATCTCTGAGACAGGGCAGGACCCCCGTCCCTGGCCTCCTTCCCCTTTACGTCCTTCTGCTCGCATGGTGAGCACCTCCTATGGCTGGTGGCCATCTGCTCTCTGAGCCAGAGTTTACTTCCTTGGGATGCCTACCACCCATGGGTAGCAGAGAAATAAGGAATGAAAATTCCGGATTTCCAGTTACAAGGAATTGTATCTTTGGGTTGAAAACCCCTTGTCATCTTTGGGCTCATGAGCTGCACTGCTGGGCATCCCGATGTCCCCTGGAGCCCCAGAATCTCCACAAGGATCATAAGCGTGGGGCTGCAACACATACTTCCTCAGCTCCTCACCTGTCAAAGGTGAGGATGAGTGGCCAAGGCCCTTCCTGATCTTGCAGCAAGTGGGTCCTGACCCAGCATTGCCTCAAACTGCCAGGAACTCATGGTGCAGGAGCTGTCTCTGAGGGGCCCCCACTGTGTACGTGAGTGCAGGGAGCTATGTACACAGTCATGTTCTGTCTTCACACAGCTGGGGGCACTACGGAGGTGAGGGTGACCTGCCTGGGGTCATCCAACGTGTCCATCACAATGGAGTTG